CCAGTGCCCCCAGTGCCGGGTGACACACGCGTGACACACGTGTGACACACGCACACACGTGGCTGACCCGCGGCTGCCGGCGCTGGACGCCCTGCGCTGCAGCCTCTCCTGCCGGTCCCCTCCCAGTGCCCCCAGTGCCGGGTGACACACGCGTGACACACGTGTGACACACACATGTAACACACGTGTGACACACATGTGACACACGTGTGCGTGGCTGACCCGCGGCTGCCGGACGCCCTGCGCTGCAGCCTCTCCTGCCGGTCCCGCGCGCTCAGCGCCGCCGCGCGCCGCTGCTGCAGCTCCAGCAGCCGGGCCCGCACCTCCTCGTCCCCGCACACGTCTGCGACGACACCGCTGTCACCGCGGTGCCACCGCGGTGCCACCAAGTGCCACCGCGGTGCCACCAAACGCCACCAAACGCACCCAGCGGCGTCTCGTCCTGCAGCGACCTGGCGCCCAGGTCGGCGCCGTGAGCCACCAGCAGCTCGGCCAGCGCCACCTGCGAGGGACACGGACGGTGACAAGGGGACGCGCGGGTGGCAGGGGTGTCCCCGGGGGGGTGGCACACCTGTCCCCAGCAGGCGGCGGCGTGCAGCGGCTGCCAGCCGTCGGCGTCGCGGGCGTCGGCGCGGGCGCGGTGCCGCAGCAGCAGCTCGGCCGCCGCAAGGAACCCGTGGGCAGCGGCCACGTGCAGCTGGGGACACAGGGGACATCAGGGGACATTGTGTCACATGTGGGGACACGCACAGAACCCGTGGGCAGCGGCCACGTGCAGCTGGGGACACAGGGGACATCAGGGGACATTGTGTCACATGTGGGGACACGCACAGAACCCGTGGGCAGCGGCCACGTGCAGCTGGGGACACAGGGGACATCAGGGGACACGTGGGGACATGGTGTCACATGTGGGGACATGAGGGGACACACACAGAACCCGTGGGCAGCGGCCACGTGCAGCTGGGGACACAGGGGACATCAGGGGACACGTGGGGACATGGTGTCACATGTGGGGACATGAGGGGACACGTGGGGACACGTGGGGACACGCACGGAACCCGTGGGCGGCGGCCACGTGCAGCTGGGGACATGAGGGGACATCAGGGGACACGTGGGGACATTGTGTCACATGTGGGGATATGTGGGGACACGTGGGGACATCAGGGGACACGTGGGGACACGGGGGGACATGAGGGGACACGCGCGGAACCCGTGGGCGGCGGCCACGTGCAGCTGGGGACATGAGCAGCGGCTGCCAGCCGTCGGCGTCGCGGGCGTCGGCGCGGGCGCGGTGCCGCAGCAGCAGCTCGGCCGCCGCAAGGAACCCGTGGGCAGCGGCCACGTGCAGCTGGGGACACAGGGGACATCAGGGGACATTGTGTCACATGTGGGGACACGCACAGAACCCGTGGGCGGCGGCCACGTGCAGTGGGGACACGTGGGGACATGAGGGGACATGTGGGGACACACTGGGACACGCGGTGGGGATGGGGACGGTGGCACTGAGGTGACACTGGGGTGGGGATGGGGTGGCACTGGGGGAATGGAGGGATGGTGGCACTGGGGTGGCACTGAGGTGGGGATAGGGACAGTGGCACTGAGGTGGCACTGAGGTGGCACTGAGGTGGCACAGGGGGAATGGAGGGATGGCGGCGGCTGGATTGGGTTTGGTGGCACCGGGGTGTGGGGACACTCAAACAGTGACCCCAGTGCCACCCAGTGCCACCCAGTGACCCCAGTGTCACCCTGACCCTGCCAGTGTCACCATGGCCATGGGGACCCTCAAACAGTGACCCCAGTGTCATCCAGTGACCCCAGTGCCACCCTGACCCACCCGGTGTCACCATGGCCATGGGGACCCTCACCCAGTGACCCCAGTGCCACCCTGACCCTCCCGGTGTCATCATGGCCATGGGGACACTCAGCCAATGTCACCCAATGTCACCCAGTGCCACCCTGACCCTCCCGGTGTCACCAGGGCCATGGGGACACTCAGCCAGTGACCCCAGTGCCACCCTGACCCCCTCCCAGTGACCCCAGTGCCACCCGGCCCACACCCCCTCCCTGTCCCCTCTGGGGACACAGGGGACATGAGGGGACATGTGGGGACACAGTGGGACACGTGGGGACATGGTGGGAACCCGTGGGCGGCGGGCACGTGCAGCTGCCCCTCACCAGGGTGTCCCCTCGGTGTCCCCGTGCCGTGTCCAGCGGCGCGCCGTGCCGCAGCCGCTGCCGGATCTCGCGCAGCATGGCGCGCTCCGTGTCCCCGCAGTGTCCCCGTGTCCCCTCACTGTCCCCATGTCCCCAATCACCAGGGTGTCCCCGTGTCCCCTCGGTGTCCCCCTCACCAGGGTGTCCCCACTGTGTCCCCTCAGTGTCCCCCTCACCAGGGTGTCCCCGTGTCCCCATGTCCCCAATCACCAGGGTGTCCCCAGCGTGTCCCCGTGCCGTGTCCAGCGGCGCGCCGTGCCGCAGCCGCTGCCGGATCTCGCGCAGCATGGCGCGCTCCGTGTCCCCGCAGTGTCCCCGTGTCCCCTCACTGTCCCCATGTCCCCGTGTCCCCTCGGTGTCCCCGTGTCCCCATGTCCCCCTCACCAGTGTGTCCCCTCCGTGTCCCCGCGGCGTGTCCAGCGGCGCGCCGTGCCGCAGCCGCTGCCGGATCTCGCGCAGCATGGCGCGCTCCGGGGCCGCCCGCGCCTCCTCGATGCGCTCCTGGCCCAGTGTCCCCCTCACCAGGGTGTCCCCACGCTGTCCCCATGTCCCCATGTCCCCCTCACCAGGGTGTCCCCTCGGTGTCCCCGTGCCGTGTCCAGCGCCGCGCCGTGCCGCAGCCGCTGCCGGATCTCGCGCAGCATGGCGCGCTCCGTGTCCCTGTGCTGTCCCCGTGTCCCCTCACTGTCCCCATGTCCCCGTGTCCCCTCGGTGTCCCCCTCACCAGGGTGTCCCCTCCGTGTCCCCGCGGCGTGTCCAGCGGCGCGCCGTGCCGCAGCCGCTGCCGGATCTCGCGCAGCATGGCGCGCTCCGGGGCCGCCCGCGCCTCCTCGATGCGCTCCTGGGTGACGCCTGCGGGGACACGGCGGTGACGCGGTGCCACCGCGGCCGTGCCACCCCCTCGGTGGCACCGGGCGCTCACCGCGCTGCGCCATGGCGCTCTCCAGGCACTCCAGGGTGGCCTCGTCCTCGCACAGGTCGTACGGCATGTCCCCGTCCGACGTCAGCGCCAGCAGGTCTGCGCCGCTGCGGGGACAGCGCCGTGTCACCGGGGTGGCACCGGGGTGGCACTGGGGTGGCAGTGAGGTGGCAGGGAGGTGGCACTGAGGTGGCAGTGAGGTGGCAGTGAGGTGGCACTGAGGTGGCACTGAGGTGGCACTGAGTTGGCACTGAGGTGGTGGCACAGGGGCAATGGCAGGGTTGGGGTGACAGGGGTTTGGGGGTGGTTGGTGGCACCTGGATTGGCTTTGGTGTCACCGGGGGTGTGGGGACACTCACCCAGTGCCCCCAGTGCCACCCAGTGACCCCAGTGCCCCCCTGACCCTGCCAGTGCCACCCTGGCCATGGGGACCCTCATCCAGTGTCCCCAGTGTCACCCGGTGACCCCCAGTGTCACCCTGACGCTCCCAGTGCCACCCTGGCCATGGGGACGTGTCCCCTGCCCGGTGTCCCCTGTCTGTCCCCCCCGGTGTCCCCCCTGTCCGCGGGCGGTACCGCTGCAGCAGGAGCTGCGCCAGGCGCAGGTGGCCGCAGGTGGCGGCGGCGTGCAGCGGCGTCCAGAGCTCCGCGTCCCGCGCGTCCACCGCCGCGCCCGCCTCCAGCAGCAGCCGCGCCACGGGCACCGAGCCGTCGATGCAGCTCTGGGGATCGGCGTGGGAATGGGGATGGTGGGAATGGTGGGAATAGTGGGAATAATGGGAATGATGGGAATGGGAATGGGAATGGGATTGGGAATGGGAATGGGAATGGGAGTGATGGGATTGGGGTTTCATGGTCCAGCAGCAGCCGCGCCAGCGGCACCGAGCCGTCGATGCAGCTCTGGGGATCGGCGTGGGAATGGGAATGGGATGGGAATGGTGGGATTGGGAATGGGAATGACGGGAATGGGAATGGGAATGGTGGGATTGGGAGTGATGGGATTGGGAGTAATGGGATTGGGAGTGATGGGATTGGGGTTTCATGGTCCAGCAGCAGCCGCGCCAGCGGCACCGAGCCGTCGATGCAGCTCTGGGGATCGGCGTGGTGGCAATGGGAATGGGAATGGGAATGATGGGAATAATGGGAATGGGAATGGGATTGGGAGTGGGAATGGGATTGGTGGGAATGGGAATGGTGGGAAGGGAATGGGAATAATGGGAATGGTGGGAATGGGATTGGGAATGGGAATAATGGGAATGGGATTGGGATGGGCAGTAATGGGATTGGGGTTTCATGGTCCAGCAGCAGCTGTGCCAGTGGCACCGAGCCGTCGATGCAGCTCTGGGGATGGTGGGAATGGGAATGACGGGAATGATGGGAATGACGGGAAGGGGAACAATGGGAATGGGAATGGTGGGATTGGGATTGATGGGATTGGGATTGATTGGAATGGTGGGAATGGGAGTAATGGGATTGGGAATGGGACTGGGGTTTCATGGTCCAGCAGCAGCCGCGCCAGCCAGAGAGCCGTCGATGCAGCTCTGGGAATGGTGGGGGGAATGGGAATGGGAATGGGAATGGGAACGGGAATAATGGGAATAGGAATGGTGGGAATGGGATTGGGATTGGGAATGGTGGGTTTGGGAATGGTGGGAATAGGATTGGGAATGGGATTGGGAATGGCAGTAATGGGACTGGGGTTTCATAGTCCAGCAGCAGCCGCGCCACGGGCACCGAGCCGTCGATGCAGCTCTGGGAATGGTGGGGGGAATGGTGGGGTTGGGATTGGGAATGATGGGAATGGGAATGGCATTGGGAATGGGAATGGCATTGGGAATGATTGGGAATAATGGGAATGGGATTGGGAATGGGAATAATGGGATTGGGAATGATTGGGATTGGGTTTGAGACTGGGAATGGAATTGGTGGGAATGGATTGGGAATGGTGGGATTGGGAATGGGAACGATGGGATCAGGAACGGTGGGATTGGGATTGGTAATGGGATTGGGAATGATTTGGATTGGGTTTGGGACTGGGAATGGAATTGGTGGGAATGGATTGGGAATGGTGGGATTGGGAATGGGAACGATGGGATCGGGAACGGTGGGATTGGGATTGGAATGGGGATGGGATCGGGATGGGGATGGGATCGGGATGGGGATGCGGACGCGCCACCCAGCACCGCAGGCAGCAGCGGGTGAAGCCATTCCCAAGGATCCCAATGCAACCACGACCATCCCAACGACTCCTCCAAGGATTCCAACGGCAATTCCAAGGATCCCAAGGTCAATTCCAAGGATCCCGAGGCCATTCCCCCCCAACAACTCCTCAAGGATCCCAACGGCAATTCCATTGGGATTGGGATGGGATTGGGATGGGGATCGGGCTGTGGGAGGCCGATGGGACGGGAAGGATGCGGGAAACGGGATCCCGGGATTTGGGATCAGCGGGCAGAGCGGGAAGGGAAGGGCCTGGAGCTGGGACGGGAAAGATTTGGGGTTACTGGGATAGGGCGGGATCCGGGATCACCGGGAACGGGACACGGGAAAGGGGCGGAGCGGGAAAGCGGGGCCGGGATCAGCGGCTGATCTGGGATTTGGGACGGGCCTGGATTTGGGATTGCCGGGATTTGGGATGGGAAGGGCCTGGATTCGGGATCAATGGAATTTGGGATGGGAGTGGCCTGGATTTGGGATCACCGGGATTTGGGACGGGAAGGGCCTGGATTTGGGATCACCGGGATTTGGGATGGGAAGGGCCTGGATTTGGGATCACTGGGGTCTGGGATCACTGGGATTTGGGATCAGCAGATAATGGGATGGGAAGGGCCTGGATTTGGGATCAATGGAATTTGGGATGGGAAAGGCCTGGATTTGGGATCAGCGGGATTTGGGGTGGGAATGACCTGGGTTTGGGATCACTGGGGTCTGGGATCAATGGATGGAACTGGGATCACTGGGATCTGGGATGGGAAATGCCTGGATTTGGGATCACCGGGACCTGGGATCAGCAGATAATGGGATGGGAAGGGCCTGGATTTGGGATCACAAATTAATGGGATGAGATTGACCTGGATTTGGGATCATCGGGAACTGGGTCAATGGATGGAGCTGGGATGGAAAACACCTGGATTTGGGATGACCAGGATCTGGGATGGGATGGGCCTGGATTTGGGATGACTGGGATCTGGGAATGACCTGGATTTGGGATCACTGGGAACTGGGATCAACGGACGGAGCTGGGGTGGAAAACACCTGGATTTGGGATCACAGGGATTTGGGATGGGAAATGCCTGGATTTGGGAATGACTTGGATTTGGGATGACCGGGATCTGGGAATGACCTGGATTTGGGATCACTGGGAACTGGGATCAACGGACGGAGCTGGGGTGGAAAACACCTGGATTTGGGATGACCGGGATTTGGGATAAATGGATGGAACTGGGATAGAAAACACCTGGATTTGGGATCACAAATTCATGGGATGGGAAATGCCTGGATTTGGGAATGACTTGGATTTGGGATGACCGGGATCTGGGAATGACCTGGATTGGGGATGGGAAATGCCTGGATTTGGGATCACTGGGATCTGGGAATGACCTGGATCTGGGATGACCGGGATCTGGGATGGGAAATGCCGGGATTTGGGATCACCGGGGTCTGGGACCAGTGGGTGGAGCTGGGATGGAGAAGCCCCAAATCCGGGACGTCGGCGTCAGCCCACGGCACGGAACGGAGCCGGATCCTCCGGGATCCCGGGAAGGACCCGGCTCCGGAGCTCCGGGAACCCCGGGAATTCTGGGAATCCCGGGAATGCTGGGAATACCTGGTGCAGCGCCGTCAGCCCGTCCTCGTTGCACAGGTCGGGGCTCATCCCGCTCTCCAGGAACTGCCGGACTGCGGAGGAACGGGGATAACGGGAATTACGGGAATTCCCCCGCACCTTCCTCGACGTCGTGCCGCCCGGCCGCCTCCAGGAGCCGCACGCTGGCCGGGAACGTCACCCTCTTCCTCCTCCTCCTCCTCCTCCTCTCCGCCGCCGCTTTCGGCGTCGCCGGCGTCTCCCTCTCGGCCTGGGCCCATTTCTTCAGCTGCTGGGCCCGGCGTTTCTGGGCGTGCCGCAGCCGCTCCGGCGTGCTGAGCCGCGACACCGCCGCCATCTCGGCCAGCAGCTCCTGGTGCTCGGCCATCTTGGGGAAACGGCGGGGAGCTGTGGCATCACCGGCACCGCCACCGCCACCGGCACCGTCAGCGCCACGAGGGGTTTTAGCCTCTCATCCTCGGGGGTTTGGAGATGGGAAGAGGTTGGGGAGCATCTCCCGAGGGTGGGGAGGGAGAATTCCAGGAGTTTTGGGATTATCCGGGGTTTTTTTCCAAGTTTTGGGAGGTCCAAGATGGTCGAGGAGATGGATCCTGAGGAGAGGGAAAAAAACGGGGAGTTTGATCGGAGTCCAGCTCGTTAATCCCGGCCCGGCTCGTTAAATCCAAACCCAGCTCGTTAATCACAGCCCAGCTCATTAATCCCAGCCAGGCTCATTAATCCCAGCC